ACTCCCTCTCTGGAAAGCAATGGAAAAAACACAAAAACTAAATGTACTTCATTACTTTATAAAAAGCTCAAAGTAGTGGTCTCTGAGCAGTGGCTTAGAGGTTGTTTCATTCCCTTTCACTCCAAACCCGTTTATGCTGCATGTGCATCCCTCACAGACTTGGGGTGACATGGTAAAAGGCGAAGGAAGAAGTGGCCGCACCTCACAACAGGAAGTGGAGTGCCCCCGACAGCGAATTCAGTTGCAATGTCTCAATGACTGTGTTAATAAACCTTGTGACTAAACTGACTCATGCAAACCAAACACTGTGAACAGCCCACTGAATCTTGGGACCCAACACCCCAGGAAGTGCCTGTAGCCCTGCCTGGGACCCAGCAGGCCTCACCGGAGCTGGGGCACTCCTGCAGCGCCTTGGCCATGAGCGTGTTGGCGATGTTCTTTAGCCCCGCACGGTACTCCAGCCTCACGGACTCCAACCTGAGGACACAGGCCAAGAGGGAGGGGTCTAGCGCCCATCTGCGGACAGACAGCCCGACCACAGAGCCGCAGCAGCTGGAGCTGCCCATGCTGCCACATGGAGCAGGGAGACACTGGTGCCACACTGTGGGGCCCACTGCAATGGCCCTGCCCGGGGCCTGGGACCCTGACATCGCATTTCTTCAGGGCACTGACACTCTTGGTCTTCCTCTGGTGCCAGGAAGATGGGTGGGAGGATAGTGGCGTGTTGCGGCGGCTGCGAGTGCACAACACAAGGGCGTCTCCTTCAGCCCCTGCCGCACGCTCCAGCCCTGGCTCTGAGCCCTGCGCTGCACCTCTGTATGCAGTTTCCTGTGGGCAAAACGCCATCGTCACCCAAGAAACTCCTATTCATCCCTCAAGGTCTTGCCTAGACGCCATGTCTTCTATGGAGCAGCTCTGTGACTTCCTCCATCCTTGATCCCCCATCATTAGCTGCTGGCTTCCCTGGACACCTGCTCTGAGAGACAAGTTAAACTACATCTGAGCACCTGGGCTGCACCCTCCTCACAGCCGGGACCTGCCACTCTTCCTGCAAAGCCTGAACCGGAAACACTACCCAGCGGCTGCCCGTGAGCACCAGCGAGGGCGCCCAAGCGTGAGCTGGCACGAGACTCACCACAGCCCGGGGTTCTTCGGGTTCTTCAGGCGAGACTTTTCCAAAATGGCCCGAGCTCGGGTCAGCTGCCCGATCTTCTCCTCTAGCCGGGAAAGCAAAAGCCACAGGGGTGTGGAGTGGGGACATTTCTTCAGCTGTGGCCAAAAAAGACAGACAATAAGAGAGGGGGCGTGGCTGGCATCTGGGAGGGGCTGTGACAGCTATGGCCAGCTCCTCAAGCCAGAGAGTTGGGCTGCCCATGTCCATGGAGACCCACCCACTTCATGTCTTGGTTAAAGGTTTTATGTGCATGGCTGTGCTGGGCACGTGTGTACAGGGCGCATGTGTGTTTATGTGCACGGCTGTGCAGTGCTCACGTGTGTACAGCGTGTGCACACAGCAGTTGTACATTAGAGACGGCGTAACCTGCACCGCAGGCAGTGCATGCAGCTTTGAAGGACCCCGAGTCGGGTTGTCAGACACAATCGGGAGTGCCCAGGAGAAGCACTGCCCTGAGCGAGGGGATGGAGGCCCAGCAGGGGCTAAGCAGGTGCTGACCACTGAGCCCAAGTGTGCAGCGTGCAGAGCTCACCCCCTGGCTGTAGGCCTCTCGAGCCTTGTCCGTCTGCTCCTCCTGCTCCTCAATCTGCCCCTTCATCATCCACAGTTTGGGGAAGTCCTCGTAGTGCTTCAGGGCCTCCTCGCACAGCTCCTGGGCGGCCTCAATGTTCCCCAGCACCCATTCCAGCTTCACAGACTTCATGAACACCTGGGGGCAAGCACGTATCAGTCAGCCATCCCACCCAGCTCTGGCCCAGCCTCTAGCACTGGGCCCGGGCTGGGCTGACACCTTTGTGGTAGATGCTTAAGGTCATACAACAGGTCGCCTTAAATGCTGTTTGTCCTGCTATGTACCTTGTAAGCTGCCTTGTAGCTGTGGAACCACATGGGCTTTACACACACAAGCACGTTTCAAAGTGAATCTGAGCCTTCAGTGTCCTGGCCTCAGGCCCTCCCCCACCGCCCCCTTCCCGACACTGCAGAACAGGAGGCCCCGCGTGGCCTGAGCCATCTGCTCACCCGGGCAGTGGGTGCGCTGCTCCGAGCCTTGGCCAGCAGCCGCCGGGCCCGTTCATACTCGTTGTTCTCCGATTCCAACTTACGGCCGCCAGCCAGATCTCCTCACTGTTGGGGTTGGCCTGGAGGGTGAGCCCAGCAGAGCCAAGGTGGGCACAGGACAGAAGTGAGCAGGGCTGGGCTCACTGAACACAAGCAGCCTCCTGGGAGCCCACTGGCCACACATGCTGACGCCAACTCGAAAGCGGCGCTGCAGTGACTGGCCGTGGGGCCAGGGCAGATGGGGAATGAGACAGCAGAGGGCACAGCCAGCTCCATGCCAGCCCCTCTCAGGGAATCCCTCGAGAACAACAGCCTCTGTCATGCTAGCTGGGGCCACAACAGATCCCCCTCTACACAGCACCCCAGTTTATACGAAGGATGCTGCAAACTACTGACAAACGCCCACACTGTCACAAAGTATCAGGATACTGTACGTGGCAATAAAAGGAAGGTTGCCACCTGCTCGCCCTGTGTTCTGTGTTCCAGAACATTTAAGCCAGTGGTAACACTGAGTGGTGGTGACCAAGAGGCAGATGTCTACTAGCTGGGCCATCTTCCCTGTTCTCAGGTCCTCGTGGGGCCCCAGCTGCCTGCACAGCAGTCTGAGTCCTGTGCACTGTGACCACGCATGTCCCCCAGGGTCAGCACCGTCGGTGGGCGGGAGGAGGCCCTGAGGAGGTGCGCACACTGGTGCCCTCGCAACACAGCCGACCTCACCCACCTGGAAGGCCAGAGCCAGGATGCTCCTTGCCGCAGGCACGTCGCCTGCCAGCCACTTGGACTTGGCACCCATGAGCCACAGCACCTCCGCTTTGGGGCAATGGGCCACGGCCCTCTGCAGAAGCGCTTCCAGGGACTCCCTGCAAGACGGGCCACGGTCACCACAAGCGCACAGGGCACTGCAGCCGTGGCGCGGGCACTGAAAAGACAGTTACTGCTCCAAAGTCCGACACCATCAATGATTGACCAGGTTTACAATGGGGAGAGTGTGGGGAAATCTTTTCTCTCCATAAAGGTTCTAAAATCAACTCCTGCAGAGGGTGCTACAAAGTGGCGCATTGTTTAATAGCAGAGCCTGATAGAGGGACGCCTCAGGAGACCCTTTTACAGCCGTGTGTCCTGGAGGGAGCGATAACGTCACGGTCTGGGTGACAGGAGAGCCTTTCATCTCTAGCCACAGATCCGCTGATAAAGATTATGGCCTCCATCCGCTCTCTGGCATCCAGAGACACTGTCTTATTGGAAGAAAGTTATTTTAGGTCACTGTTGAGCAAGAAGACCGCCAGCCTGGGTACCAGGTGTGAAGCCCACCGCCCCTCTTTCATGCCACCTGGCACAGGTGACCTCTTCAGACCTCAGCAGTGAGACCCCCTACAGGAAGCCAAACAGCACACAACCCTGGAACCGAGACCCCAGGCACCAAACACTTGCCTCCCTCACCCTCCTAAGTCGGCAGATGGCACAGGTGCCAGATGGGAGGAGGGGCTGCTCTGAGCCCAGGGCCACAGTTGGGAGGGCAGGCTCTGCTAGGCAGAAGACATCCGAAGCAAACTTGTACAGGGTGAGCTCAAAATGTCCCCAAAGGAGTGAACTCCACAACACAAACCAGCTGGCAGGAATGAGGAGGGGACAGGAGCACCAAAGACAGGAAAGAGGCCTCAATGCTCCCAGCGACAGCCCTGGCGAATCAGCAAGGCCATCCCCACCAGCACTGGGACAGCAGCAGACGGCCTGGGCAGAGGGTGCACAGTGACGTGAGCCGATGCCCCGGCAGCCCACTCAACACCAGAATTGCAACACCTAATCTAATCAGTGACTGTGGCCCGGAGGCAGGTCCGAAGGTTTTTTCAATTACAGAGCACAATTAGAGAAAATTGTCAAGGACCTCCTCAGAGCACAAAAACCAACTCCAACCCAAAGCCAGCACAATTTTAAATGAAAACCATGCCTGCCTGGCCCAGATGCTGCACCACCCACACTGATGGAGCCAGAGCTGGCAAGACGTGGACTCCGGGCTCCGCGAGCTCCAGCACCCAGGAACCCCCAGGCTCGGCCGCAGGTGCTTTGCTTTGGCAGAGAGGCCCCCTCTGCGCCTCAGTGTCACAATGACACAACAGTGATAATCCTATCGCCAGAGGAGCCACAGGGACAGCTCCAGCTGCAACGTTCCAGGCCAGGCACTCGCCCATCTGTGGGGAGCACTGCATAGCCTAGAGCTGGTGGTGAGCTGCATGCAGGGCAGACAGTCCCCCACATACCTGGTGCCATGGTTCTTCTCAAAGTAGGCGGCTCGCAGCCACACACTCTTCTTGCTGGGGAACACCTGCAGCGCATAGGCATAGATGGCTCGTGCGCACTCCAGGGCATTGTGGGCCACACACTAGAGCAGAGACAGGTGTAAGAATGGGCGGCCCAGCACTGGCCTCGGAGCAGGAGGTGTGGCGCCCTCCCCAATGGCGCCCTCTGTTAGAAACCATACCACACAGGAGGGAAACCCCAGGAGGACGGGGTGTGAGCACAAAAGTGGGAGCATGTGGGGCTGTGACGAGGCGGCCTGCCAGCCCAGACAGACATGGGAGCTGGTGCGAGGAGCACCCACCACGGCTGCAGGGGAGCAGGCGGGCATGGGGTGAACACATCCATGCATGTGAGGTCCTTTTGAAAAAAAGTGTGGTATGTATTCTTAACTGTAAGTCACACACACACCGCAGATACTCAAAGTCCTCTCATGTCAAAACAGGCTGTGTCTTGAGATGAAAAGCCACTAGGAAGTGTGTCAGGAACAAAGTTTTGCAACTGGGATGTGAACTGAAATTGGACAAGCGGCCTCACACCTGTGCCGTCTTCGTACAAGGAGGGCACCTGAGCCACCAAAGGCTACTTCCCACTTCAACAACTTCAGACTGGGTCCCTTCTCAGTTCTATGGCCTCCACTGAGCCAACACCACAGACACCAGGAAGGCCCTGCCGTGGGCCTGTCCTGACCAGGAGCAAGCACCTGGTGAAATGAGGATCAGATCCAGGCACACTGGCCTGCACCCTCACCATCACTTCTGACCAAGGTCCTGGAAGCCAGTCGCAAAGGCTTTCAGACCTCCGTCCACCCCGGCCATCGCCCCAAGTCCCATAGGCTCACATGATAGCTGGGCCAGGCCTGTCGGTGTGAGAGCCCCAGGAAAACACTCCACACTCCGAGCACAAACGCCTCCGCTCCGCTCCGCTGCAGGAGCACACGCTCTCTGAAGGACAGCTGTGCGCACTCCAGTGCTTGCGAAGGGGATGGAAACCAGGACACTGGCACCAGCTCAGGCTGTGGGTGCCCCCCCCACCCCCCCAGCTGCTGCTGCTGTCTGCAGGGCGATGCCCACCACACCTCCACGGGGCCAACAGTAAGGAAAGCAAACAGGCACAGTGTCTAACTGCATTCGGAGTAAACAGAGGCTTGGCAACCAGGGTCTGGGGTCTTCTGGGTGTTTAGAGATTTTCTCCCAACACAGAGGCTGTGTGGTTGTTTATTAAATTACTAGAGGCCTGGTGCACCAGTGCATAATAGGGGCTGGGGAGGGACGCGGGAGGGCTCCAGGGTGTGTCCAGCCCGTCTCACCCAGTCTCACCCAGTCCCAATCGGCTAGACCCCAGCAGCAAGCTAACCTACCGGTTGAAGTGTCTGCACCCTGGTGGTCAATGCGCATCATAGCGACTGGTTGAACGAACGGTCGGACCCTTAGCATATTAGGCTTTTATTATATGAGGATTCTTCATACTTTTGTATGTCGTATTACATGTTAAAAAGTTTGTAACAAGATGTCGCAGTTGGCCTGTGTCTCACAACCCAAGAGTGTGGTCAGTGTGCACAGGCCGTCTGCAGGCCAGCTTGGTAGCCAGGGCACTACCAACACCTGCCTTCAGGGGAGGGAGGGGCCCACAGTGCACACAGGACTTGGGGCGATGGCCATGGTGGACAGACTCCCAGAGAATGGCATGAGATCCTCAGTCCCTCCTGATGTAAAGGAGTGAACGCCACACGAATGAGGGAGAGAGGGAGGCTGTTCTTTACTGTGGAATTTCTACTAATAAACTCTAATAAATCAGAAGAAACAACATTTAAAAAACCTCCATTTGGCAAATACCATGGCAGTAACTGACACAGGCCAAAGTTAATGGACCCACAGGTCAAAGTTTGGCGAGAAACAAGGTGTGGGGAGTCTCAAAGTGTCTCCCCACAAAATACTGATTAATTAAAAGGGGAAAACCAGTAACCTTCCATTGGCGAGCCTGGCAAGCGCCACCTGAGCTAGTCAGAGTTGAATGGGCGCAGACGCCCCCCAACACAACCCGCCGGGAAGACACAGTCCCCACAAAGATGCAGAACCTCAACCTGCCCATGAGACACAGTGCAGGCTGAATCCAGGGGCCCCACAGAACCACTGGCCCGTACGCCTCAAAAACACCAGACTCATGGAAACCAGAGACAGACCAGAGCCCTCCTCAGGCCATGGAGACCCGAGGAAGTGACCCTGGCAGCTATGCAACAGAACGCAGCTGAGCCAACCACTGACATCTGAATAAAGTCTGCAGCTCACTACCGGTCCCGCACCAACACCCACCTCCCGACTGAGAGCTGTGCTGAGCTTGCGTACGAGTGTCAGCAAGCTCATGACTGTCCTCCTTCAGAGAAACACACACCGAGGTCTTCAGATGTAAAGGGCCATGCCATCTACAACTTACTCTCAAAGGATTCAGAAAAAAATGAGGGGCATGTGTGTGCACGTGGAGAATGAAAAAGCAAATGTGGTAAAATGGGTAAGGTAAGTCTGGTGAAATCTGGGTGAAAGGCATATAAGAATTCTTCATACAGTTTTGCTACTTTTAGGTAAGGCTAAAATTATTTCAAAATAAAAAAGCTAAAAAAGGGCTACATGCAAGGAATAAAATACTTCAACTGTGTTTATTGACTGTGACCCTGTCTTCTCTGGACAACTGTTCCAAGGAAGTAATCTCAAAGTAGGCAAAGCTTTGTGTGCAAAATGTTTTCTGAGTGCAATTTATAACAGAAACCAGGGGGTGCGGACCAGCCAGATACCCAGAGGTAAACAGCTAAGGAAGCGTGTGAGCCTGGGGTCGGGTCCTCTGTAGGTGAGTGAGTGCTAAAAAAGCAGCTCTTCACGCGGACCTGGGTTAGAGAGGGCTGTCCCTTCTGACGGCAATGATGGCTACACACCAGCAGATCAAAGAGATTTTCAAACACAAGCAAACAGACTCCAGGCCCAAGGACCAGACTCACACTGTCGGCATCTTCCATCCAGGTGTGCTTCCGGTCCTCCTCAATCCCAATGCCAATCACAGCTCGCATGACCGCCTGGCAGGTGGCCACACTGCCTGCCTTGTCACACTCCTCAGCATCCTGAGAGGGAAGGACACAAAACTGAATCCACAGCAGAGTGCAGAGGCTCAACGGGGGTACTCTGCTGTCGGATGGCCAGAACCGAGCGCCCTGGTACTGCAGACTGCAGGTGTGTGGGCTCCACAGGTTCTAACTGTCTGTCTTGCTCACTGGTGTACCCATCCCTGCACCCAGCAGATCAATGCTCGACAAATGCCTAAGGACCAGATGAAGCTGCACCCACCACTCGACTAACATTAAATAAGCACCTACTGTGCACAAAGTGCTACAGGAGGCAACTCAGTGGCAAGAAGAGGCTCCTACGCTAAAGAAACTTCCAAAGAGCCTGGAGGAAAGACAAGTTCACACACACTTGTGTCTGTTAGTCTGGAACAGAGAGACCTGTCAGGACACAGATGAGCCTCACGCAGAGTCGGCGAGGTAGAAGCCTGGGGGAGGGACAGCACAGGAGCACTCATGGGCAGGGGCCGCTGGCCGCAGGGCAGCACTGGGCTTTCAGCCGGGAGAGAGGAAACAGCAGGAGACACAGACCTATCCCTGGTGTCTCTTGCACATCAAATGGAAAAGGACCAACAACGCAAGAGACATACAACACACAGTTCTCTAAGGAAGAAAAGGCAAATGACTTTCAAATCTATGAAAAGAAATTCAAAGCCACTTTTTTTTTTTAATTGATTTTTAGAGCCCTAACTGGTTTGGCTCAGTGGATAGAGCATCGGCCTGCAAATTGAAGGGTCCCAGGTTTAATTCCAACCAAGGGCACATTCCTGGGTTGCGGGCTCAATCCCCCAGTAAGGGGCGTGCAGGAGGCAGCCAATCAATGGTTTTCATCATTGATGTTTCTATCTCTCTATCCTTCTCCCTTCCTCTTTGAAATCAATAAAAATGTATTTTTTAAATTGATTTTTAGAGAGAGCGAGAAGGAGAGAGAGAGAGAGAGAGAGAAGCATCAGTTGGCTGCCTCCTGCACGCCCCCTACGGGGGATATGCCCTGATTGGGAATGGAACTGGCAACCCTTTGGTGCATAGGACGACGCCCAACCAACCAACCAACCAACCAACCGAGCCACACCAGCCAGGGTCAAAGCCACTTATTTTTAAAATGCTCACTAAGCTCTCCTAAGTGCCATTTCATACATACCAGAACAGCAACCTCGACACAGCCAACACACAGCTAACCCCTTTTATTTTATTTCTTTTGTTAATCCTCACCCAAGGATATTTTTTCCATTGATTTTTAGAGAGAGTAAATGGGGGGGAGAGAGAAAAAAAGAAAAGAAAAGAGAAGAGAAGAGAAGAGAAGAGAAGAGAAGAGAAGAGACGAGACGAGACATCAACTGGTTGCCTCCCACACTGAACTTGCAACCCAGGTGTGTGCCCTTGACTGGGAATCAAACCTGAGACCCTTCATTGCATGGGGCCCAACACACAAACCACTGAAAAATATCAGTCAGGGCCATCTGTCACCCCTTTTATTTTTTTAAAATGTTTTTATTGATTTCAGAGAGGAAGGGAGAGGGAGAGAGAGATAGAAACATCAGCAATGAGAATCACTGATTGGCTGCCTCTTGCAACCCCCCTACTGGGGATCGAGCCCCAACACAGGCATGTGCCCTGGTTCATGGGTTGACGCTCAACCACTGAGCAACACTGGCCAGGCTGTCACCCCTTCTAGATGTGTTATTTCTAGTCACAAAGTGACATGAGTGACACATGTCCACATGCTAAAAGGACTTCAGAGCATCCAACCTCAATGTGTACTTGGGGTTTGCCACTACAAAAAGCTGCAGTGCAATCAAGTAAAGCCCCATGTGCCAAGCATGGGACTCTAGGCACCATCAACAGCCCTGTCCTAGGAGAGAGGCCACATGCGGGAGGACATCCATTTTTGGAGCTGCCACTGACCCTGAGCGCAGCTGCAGTCCCACCTGGATCCACTGCTCACGGTTGATCTCCACACCGTTGGCCCGCAGGGAGGTGATGGCCCGGTCAATGATCTTCTCCACCATCTGTGTGTTCCCGTTGGCTTCCTCCAGCTTGGCAGCCGTGACCCAGATGTGCCGGTCTGTGGGGATGTTCTCACGGGCCTTGTTCAAGACCTTGTGGGAATTTTCATAGGTCTCCAACCTTGCCAGAGCGAGCCACAGCTGTGTGGAAAGCCAGACATGAGACCCGAGGGGCAGGTGGCGAGCCGGCCTCAGGGCCCCAGGGTGCTTCCCAGGCCTGAGCTCTCAAGGACCCCTGAGCAGGGCCATGAACATGACAGCAGCATTTTCACAGCTGAAAGCTGCTCGGTTATGCTGCTGATGTACTGAGTGACTGTCTCGTTCATAGGAGGTGACAGGTGGTCACCCGTCCACACACTGGGGAAACGTGTATCGTGTGTGTGGAGCGGGGTGAGCAGGACAGGAGGCTGCTTCACAAGCTAAATGGTCACATGGGTGTTCAGCCTCCTGGGCTCTCACACCCCAGCTGGTGACTCGGCAGCATTTCAACACCAAGCATGTGTACGGGCTCTGTTTATTTTTATATAATGAATTAAGATTGATTTCATTTGGAGAATTTCACAAGACCCCTCAGGATAATTAAATACATACTGGCTATCATAAAACCAAGACTAAAAACCACTGCACAGACTGCTGTGAACCTGAATGTTTAAAACGAGAGAAATCCAACTAGCTCAGAGGCAAGAAGCCGACCTCATGCTGGGTTGGCAGAAAGATATGTCAATAATTTCTATCACTCTCTCCCCTCAGGTCCCATCTGCAAATTCTGCGCGGCCCCAGGCCTGAAGGAGGGCTCCACACAGAGCCCACAGAGCGGTCAGGCTGACCACCGCCAGGCTGCCCGCTCTGCCTGCAGCTGTCAGGCGGCTTCCTCTGGCTTCTTACTGCACCTGGGTGAGCTCAATGCCCAGCTAATGCCACTTTTAGACACTGGTCCTGGGCCCAGGCCTCAGGGGCAGTGGTGACGACGGGAGGACTCACCTCCACACTGGTGGGGCAGCACTCCACGGCTCGGCTGAGCATGATTCTAGCATCTTCAGGCTCTTCCAGCTCAACCGCTGCCTTCCATAAGCGAACAGAATTGGGTACATGCTCCAGGGCTGGGAAAGGTCACAGAAAAGGGGAAGTGAACGCAGGACGCCCAGGTCCCAGAGGATGCTGCTGCCAGCAGGGTCAGGAGGCCTTGCCCTGGGGACAGCTGGGACAGCAGGCCTGCCCTTTCTAGGGGTCCTCCAAGGCCTGGGGCCAGCAGACAGCTGAGGGGGGTGCCTCCCCTCCACCCCATTCACACCTGAAAATTAATGTTAGAAAACAAAGCAACACAGGCACCAGAAGGCAGTCACCACACAGGAAGGGCCAGCAGGCAGGTGTGAGGGAGGGAGGGAGGGAGTGAGCGAGCGAGCAAGAGTTCGGAAATCACGAGAAAGGAAAACAAACGACCCTGGGATGTGCACGCGCAGGCTGGTGTGCGCCCGGCTGGCCGAGTCCCTTGAGACCCAGGGACTGGTTTACACAGGCTCTGCCAGGATGTGTCAAGGCAACCTCGAGACGCTGTGGCTGGCAGCGTATGAGGGCCCGGCCAGGCAGGAAAAGAGCAGTCTGAACAAGAAATGCCTGTGAGAAGCTGGACAAGCCGGGACCTCACAGAGGCTGATGTGACGGCAGCCTATAGCCCTTCGGTGGGTGACACAGGTGCTGTCCCTGAGCTCAGTGACCGGACGATGAGGGCTCCTGCGGGCTGCCACGCCTTACGGGCCAGAGTCCATGCTCTCAGGGAAAGAACCGCTGTATGTGGGTGCCCTGATTCGCAGAGCAGCACGGTGCTTCCCACCAGGAAGCAGCCCATGGCCCACCCCCAGGCACAAGGCTCCCGACCCACAGGTGCCCTCACAGAAGTCAAGCACCACGCCCAAGGTCACTCAGCCTCGAGGCTCAAACTAGCAGAGGGCTGACGCTCTCCCAGCAGAGCACTAGGACGTCAGCTGCACCCGACCGTGACCACAGCAGAGTCACAGGCCAGAGACCAAGGGCTGCGCAGTGCCCTAAGTCATCAATGGCGTCATCTTCGTTTTCAAAAATCAGATCTTTCCAGTGGTGACTGCCAAGTGCACAGGGAGGCAGCAGTGGCTTTCCCAGGCACCTGGGAATAGGAGCTGCTTCGGGAAACCCTCTACGGAGGGGCAGGGACCAGGACCAGGACCAGGACCAGGGAGCGGGGCAGGCCAGCTGGGGTTTTCACGTTCCTTCCACCGGAGCACAGCTGCTCCCCTGACCAAAAGAGGAGCCTGACGGCTTGTGCCCCTCCAGGTCCCGGAAGGCCGGTGTATCCCATCCTCTCCTCCCCGGGCAGAGCCTCCTCCATGCCCATCCCCTCTCCACATATCAAGCCAACGGGAAACAAACCCAGGTTATCTGGGGGGAGCCATTCGTCACGCGGTGGCAGGGACGGGCCAGCAGAGCTTTCCTAAATAAATAAGACTAACTGCCCAGGTTCAATGTGTTTGTCATTAGAGAGCTCGTTTTCTGGCTGAAAAAAGGTAGAAGCTGATTTCTACCAAAGAAGGTACTAACTTTCTGCTCCTGGCTCCGTTTTGAAAAGTCTGGCTCTGAGAATTTAATGGATAGCAATGCTGCAATCAAGAAATCAGAGGTGAGCCCTGGCTGGTTTGGCACAGTGGACTGAGCATCAGTCTGTGGACTGAAGGGTCCCGGGTTCAATTCCGGTCAAAGGCACATGCCCAGGTTGCAGGCTCGCTCCCCAGTAGGGGGTGTGCAGGAGACAGCCAACCAATGATTCTCTCTCATCACTGATGTTTCCATCTCTCTCTCCCGTCTTCTCTAAAATCAGTAAAAATACATTTAAAAAAAGAAAGCAGAGGTGAGAGAAAAACACTGAGCACAGGATACACACCTGCAGGCAGAGCCACACACAGGTGGATGCCACCTGGCCTCTATCAGACAGATGGTAGAGTCGGAAACTACGTGATGACACTGGCAGGCCTGACATCACACACCTCTAACACGTCACTCAAACACATCTTAAACACAAGAGCTGGAAACCGCCCACTGAAAATTGCCCCCCCCCCCCACACACACACAAATGCATCTTCTGTACCTGCGCTACAAATTCAGACTCAGTCCGATTTCTGACTAGCATCTGCTCTGGAACAAACATCAAAAGCATGCCCATGTGGTGGTGAAGGGAGATACTGTTATCAGTCCCTCAGGATGAAAAACACAGCACCCTCAAAAGCTGCATCTTGGCAGTGATTCCTGGATGGAGTCAGTTTCCCTGGCAAGCAAACTATTCAAGGGGACACGCCTGACAGCCCCCGCTACCTAGTCTACAGCACCAGGCAGAGTGAGGTGCGGCCACCGCTGACTTGCAGGAGTCTCACAAGACAGGAAGGAGTTCATCTAACACAGAGCTCTGGTGCTTCTCCCTGCCAGACATCAGCTCCCGACCCTTGGGAGGTGACTGCTGCCCACGCGGCCTGCATGATGCTGGCGCAGCTCGCCCTCACACACATCACCCACGGAGCCACCCACAGAAGCAGGTTCTGAACCAGCACTGTCCATGCCTGAGCCACAGCAACTGCCAGGTCACTTCAAGTCGCACCGCAAAAACACAGGAGTGGGGACTTACGCCAGAGCATCTCAGCCAGGTGGAAACTCCCCGCAGAGGAAAAGGGCAGAGGTAGCCCGGCCAGAAAAAGGCCTGGAAGATGTCACCCATTCATTACCCACTCGCAGCAACACCTGAGCAAATCCATGGAGGGAAAGCTGCTCTCCCAGGGCACAGGCACCGGGTGTGCCCCCTCCACACGGAAGACAGCAGGACACCACTCCTGGCGGCACCCAGGGAGGCTCACCTTTACGAAGAACCCGCTTTTTGGCACGAATGTCTGTTTCCAGCTCTGCTGCTCTGATGTAAATCCTAACAGACTGTGGGAGGTGACGGACAGCTTGGGCCACCACGGCCTTGGCAGTGTCCCCAGGTTGCAACCTGGCTGCTTCCAACCAGACATCTTCACTCTGTGGGCAAACAGAAAGCACGTGCCAGCTGGAAGCCCCAACGGAGCGGCAGCCCCTGGAACACGCACACAGCCTCAGGACTCGGCGGCTGGCTCCTCAGACCACACCCATCCCCCATCCACCTGGGCTTTTAAACAAATGTTATTATTGACTTCTAGAGAGAGAGAAGGGAGCAGGAGAGAGAAATAGACATTAACGAGAGAAAAACATCAACATGTCTCCTGCACCCGCACTGGGGATCAAGCCCACCCACACGTGTGCCGATCGGAAACTGAACCAGCGACCTCTTGGTGCGGGAGTCTACACTCAACCACTGAGTCACGCCGGCCCAGTCCCCCTGGTTTTATAAACAAACAAAAGGCCATCGCTCGGCCTCAAAGGCAGCTGTACCACAGACCTCTCATACCGCAAGGCTTGCGACCGTGGCTGTCTGTGGCACACCTGTTGCCGTGGGGAAAGGGCCACACCCGTTGAGAGCACAGCAGAGGATCGAGCCCAGGTGAGCATGCACAGGCCCTCTCAGGTCAAAGGCACCCCAGGCTGCCCAATAGGGACAGTCACTTAGAGCAGCACTCACCAACCTTTCGGACCTCACGGACCACCAGTGCCCCGCGGACCACCGGTTGGAAACTGCTGATTTAGAGGGTCTCACTTGACTTTTTAAAGCTTATTTAACCACTCCACCTCCAAAATGGTGGCATATTCTCCTAAGATTCGCATTTATCTTTAGCATTTTCAGGTGACCAACCTCACTCTTTCCAGCTAAGGTTATCCTGCCATTAAACTGTCCATGGTACTGAGGGTCCCCTCCTGGCCCCACACACGTCTCACCTTGGGGCACATCTCCGTCCCCTTCATGATAAGGTTTCGAGCGACTTGCAGCTTCCCGGTGACTTCTTCCAGGCGGGCAGATGCAATCCAGGCTGGTGGGTGGTGCGGGTTTGTCTCCCGAACAGACTTGAGGAGCAGTCGTGCCTTTTTGATGTCACTACAAGGGTGAGGAGGCACAGGTCAGGCCACCATGCGCTGAGGTGTCCCAAGCCCAGGGAGGGCACCAGCATAGACAGGCACTCCTGTGAGCGTGGAAGCTGGGTGAGACCCAGCTCACCCTGGCCAGTACCCGCAGCCTGCTCAGCAGCCATGCAGACAGGCACCGAGCACATGTGTCCAATGAAGGGAGACAGATGGATTTAATGGAAAACCAAACAACGCCACCACATACTTCTGAGAACACCCACATCCTATTTGGCTGCATATTTTTCAAAGAAAATCCAAACATTCTTGGCAACCTGGGTCCCCCCCTGACCCTCCCCCGCTTCCTCAGAGCACTCACTTGATGTCCCCTCCATGGGTCGGGATCATGGAATTTAAATCTGTCAGATAGCCTTTGGGGTCGACTACAGTCTGCCCACTCACAGAGTCAGACACCTGCAAAACAAGCCAGGCCACTCTGGTCAGAGGGGCCCTAGAACCCCTCCCATCTTGCCTGCCAGTGGGTACGAAAACTTTAGAAGCAGGAAAACACCTTCATGTAAACAACAGCTTGTGATGATGAGAAATTTCACCTATACAGAACAAAGATTTATATTAAAAAATAAAACCATAAAAGTCCAAGCAGAGCCCTGGCCTGTGTGACTCAGTGGTCGAAGTGTTCAATTCTGATCAAGGCCGTACTTGGGTTTCGGGTTCACTCCCCACCCCTGGTTGGAATGCATGTAGGAAGCAACCAATAGATGTGCCTCTCTCTACATCAATGTTTCTCTCTCTCTCCACGCCCCCCTTCCTCCCTCCCTTCTAAAAGCAATGGAAAAAATATATCCTCATGTTAAAAAACAAAGAAAAAAAAAAAGGTCTAAGAATGAGTGAAACCCAAGAATCGGAAAATTAAAAATTATTTCAACTAATTATATTTAAATCTGCACAATTATATTATCCTACCCTTCTCTCTAGCTTTGAGTGTTAAAATTGCCATAAAGCCCTAACCGGTTTGGCTCAATGGATAGAGCGTCGGCCTGCGGACTGAAGAAGAGCCCCGGGTTCGATTCCGGTCAAGGTCACACGTCCAGGTTGCAGGCTCGATCCCCAGTAGGGGGTGTGCAGGAGGCAGCCAATCAATGATTCTCTCTCATCATTGATGTTTCAATCTCTCTCTCCCTCTCCCTTCCCCTCTCTAAAATCAATAAAAAAATAAACAAAATAAAATTGCCATAAAAACTACAAAACCCAAGTAAAAAATGGGCAAAGGATCCTGGCTAATGCAGCAAGACCACAAAAGGACAAAGGGGTGCGGCTGGGAGGAAGGAACACACTTTCCCTGCTCACAGGACTTGACTATATTTATGCAGAAAGTTCAAAAGAACCATCAAAAAACAACCCAGCCCTGGCTGGTTTGGCTCAGTGGATAGAGAGTTGGCCTGCGGACTGAAGGGGCCGGGTTTGATTCCAGACAAGGGCACATGCACAGGTTGTGGGCTCGATCCCCAGTAGGGGGTGTGCAGGAGGCAGCCAATCAATGGTTCTCTCTCATCATTGGTGTTTCTATCTCTCTCCCTCCCCCCTCCTCTCTGAAATCAATGAAATATATTAAAACAAACCAACAAAGACCCGAATAAATAATTACAGAAAGGTGGCAGGGTGCAAGGCTCATGTGCAGAAGCCAACTGCTTTCCCAGGTGCTTTCAACCAACAGATTGGATCTGAACTTAAAAACCCTATCCCATTCTTATAACAGCACCCAGGACGTGAAACACTAATGTGTATGTAATCTAACAAACACATACAAGACCTCTGTGAGGAAACTACAAAACTCTGATGAACGAAACCAAAGAAGTTGGTCAATGGAGAGAGATATTCCATGCAGGAAGAATTAATATTGTCTGGATGTCAGTTCGTCCCAACTTGATCTGCAGATTCAACACAAGCAAATCAGAATCACGGCATGTTATTTTGTGGGTACTGACAGACTGATTGTAAAGTTTTTATGGCGGGAGGGCCATAAAATCTAACCGAGGATAGCCAACACAGTACTGAAAGAACAGAAACACAGCCTGGCTGGTGTGGCTCAGAGGTTGAGTGTTGACTTATGAACCAGGAGGTCATGGTTCAGTTCCCGGTCAGGGCACATGCCTGGGTTGTGGGCTCAATCCCCAGTGGGGGGTGATGCAGGAGACAGCCGATCGATGATTCTCTCTCATTGTGGATGTTTCTCTATCTTACTCCCTTCCTCTCTGAAATCAGTAAAATTAAAATTAAAAAAACACGAACAGAGCCCTGACCTGTTTGGCTCAGGGGATAGAGCGTCGGCCTGCGGACTGAAGGGTCCCAGGTTCAATTCCGGTCAAGGGCATGTACCTTGGTTGCGGGCACATCCCCAGTGGGGGGCGTGCAGGAGGCAGCTGATTGATGTTTCTCTCTCATCGATGTTTCTAACTCTCTATCCCTCTCCCCTCCTCTCTGTGGAAAAATCAATAAAATATATTAAAAAAAAAAAACAAAACACGAACAGAAACACAGATTGTCACAATGCATGACAGGGACTGTGCCCTGGACAGGAATCAGGAGCCGTGGGAGGCGCTCTCACACCCTTGCTGGTGGTGAAAGCCCCATAGGAAGAGTCGTGACAGCAGAGGCGCTCTGCTCGGTGGCTGCACAGCCCTCCTTCACTCACTCTTCCCTCCCTGGAAAGGGGCTTCCTGCTGCTGCTTGCGGGGTGCCTACAAGGTCTCCCCACGGCTTCGCGTACTAGACTGCAATTCTTTCATTTCCCCAAATAGGTCCTTTTGGTGACGGAATACATGGAGGAAACTTAAGTGCCTGTTACTAAGGAGAGAAGTCAATCTGAAAAGGCTACATACTGTATGATTCCAACTATGTAACATCTGAAAAAGCAAGGCTCAGGAGGCAGTTAACAGATCAGAGATTGGGGGGAAGGAGGGGTGAATGAGTGGAGCACAAAAAATTTTTAGGGCAGTGAGACTACTCTGACACTAAATCCAGAGAATGTATAATGCCAAGAGGGAACCCCAATGTAAACCATGAATTTGGATGATGATGTGTAAATACAGATTCATCACCTGTAATAAACGTACCACCTGGTGGGGAAGTTGACAAGAGAGAGTCTGTGTGGGAGATCTCTGTACTTTTCTCTCAATTTTGCTATATATCTAAAACTGCTCCTTAAGAAAGAAGTCCTAAAAAAATGAGCAAAGAACTTGATTAGACATTTCTCCAGGAAAATATATAAATGGCCAATAAGCACATGAAAGGACGCTCAACATCACTAATGAGGGGAATGCAAAAACCACTCCACACCCAGGAAGAAGCTGTCACTGAACAAGGAAAGCAGCCTGTCAGGCCCGGGTTGAAGAAGAGCCCAGACTGCGGCGAAGCCAGGGCGCCCACAGGCCCTGGGCTGCAGGATCGGAGCACCATGGGCCACAAGCACAGCATGCAGCTGTCCTCGGGCGGAGGGACTAGCCCTGAGCATGCAGGGGCCCTGCTGGAGATGCAGACAGAAGGCTCTCAGCAGACAGAAAGGCTGAGGAGCTAGCTTACGGGTGGAATGTCCATTGTTATTTATGGCTCAAGAGGCAAAAGGAAAGAAGAGAGTAATAAAAAATAATCATCAATTTGTGAGTGACGAAAGACAAAAGAGATCACTATTGTTTGCCAATAATATTTTTATGTGCTTTTGATTTTTGTGAAGCTAAAAAATAAAAATAGCCCAGCTGGCGTACCTCAGTGGTTGAGCATCGACCTATGAACCAGGAGGTCAGGGTTCAATTCCCGGTCAGGGCACATGCCCAGGTTGCGGACTCGATCCCCAATGTGGGGTGTGCAGGAGGCAGCGATCAATGATTTTCTCTTGTATCACTGATGTTTCTATCTCTCGCTCCCTCTCCCTCTCTCTCTGAAATCAATAAAAATATATTCAAAAATAAAAATAAAAAATGAAAACAGCCCTGGCCAATGTGGCTCAGCTGGTTGAGCGCCCTCCTGTGCACCACAACGATACCACAGTTCGATCCCAGCCAAGGCACATGCCAGGATGGTGGGCTCGATCCCGGTCAAGGAACGTATAGGAGGCAGCCAATCCACGATTCTCTCTCACATCTATGTTTCTCTCTCCTCTCCCTTCCTCTCTCTCTTGAAAATCAATAAAAACATATTTTAAAAAATCATAATAAATGGAAATATAAATGCTGTTAAGGATGTGGAGAAACCAAACCCTCTTTGCAGTGGGCGTCTAAATGGTGCAGCCACTGGGGGCGACAATATGGACTCCTCAGAAAACTAGAGACAGAACCACCATAAATCCAGCAACTCCACTTCTACGTTTATACCCAAAAGAGCTGAAAGCAGGGACTCAAATAGCTATTGGTGCACCAAGGCTCACAGCAGTACTAGCCACAACAATCAAAATGTAGTAACCGGTCTTTATAAAATCTCTGCTCACCATCAAAAGTTCAACACATACAACTTTCAACAATAAAGATAACTTTTTAAAATCTAAAAAAAGTTCAACAAGTGCTGTGAAAGATCAATTAAAACATAAGCGCTTCCACTGCATCCAAGGGCAGTGATTGGAGAGTTCACTACACCACTTTCACTATGTCTACGTATAGGAAGTTGTTCCTTTAAAGCATTTACCAGGAAGCTTCAGTGCCCTCCCTACCCCCGCCCCAGTTCTGTGGCATCTCGGGGGGAGGGGAGGGTTGCAGCCATGTCTGTGTGCGTGCAAATCTCTCCAACATAAATCAGAATCACACTGCTCTGCCAACCGTTGTCACGTGCGCGAGTCTTTCCCCAACTTGTTGGTGCTCTTGACTTTATAGTGCTTTCTACTGTGCACAAGTTTTCTACTATATGCAATCAAACTGAAAAGCATCTTCCTTTCTGGTTTCTGTTGTGCATGTCCTAATCAGAACGGGCTTCCCACTTCGCCTGGGTCCTCCTTCCAGAGCAACGAATGGAGTGCCAGCCTCCTAAGGGCTATGATTATCGAGGGTGAGGGAGAAAAGACATGCACTGAAGTTCAGGTAAAGAGGGGTGGGCATAAGCCTCACTGAGAGTCCGCATGTCAGGGCTGCCCGGTTGCTGGCACTGATCACATCCCTGCAGGTGGAGCACCCACCAGCCGGAATGCAGAACCCTGCCCCTCTGTAAGGGGACAGGACGGCAGCACCGCAGCTCTGCTCATCTGTGACAAAGCACTTCAAAAAATGAACTTTTTACAAGGATGTATTAGTTTTATAACCAGGAAACAAACATTTTAAAATACTATCTGTAGAAAATGTTACAGGACACGAACTCTCACCTGGCTCAGCCTCATGTCCATCAGCGTGTTCCTTGCTTGGCCAATCTTCCTCATGTCTAGCTCACCTGTGCCAGGTGTCATCAATCCAGGTGTCATTCCACCTGGGTATGGAGTGTTCAGTCCACCAGGATAGGGTGTGTTAAGACCTCCAAATTGCTGGAGAGAGAAGGGGTAAGATGCTGCAGTCCCTCAAGACGTATGCAGTTGTCCAGACAGACTTGGCGGCAGTGCAGCCTGGACTGCAGAAGCACCAGGTCCAACACGCCCCGTGCCCACCACACTGTCTAACTGTGACCAGAGGAAACGAGGCCCGCCCCCTTCTATGGGCACGCTCACAGTTTGCCGGGGGTCCACGGAGGTATGGTTCTCTCCAGTCTGCAAATGTTTGGCGAAGAAGCTGTCGGGAACAGGGGTCAGTTTCTCGTAGCGTGGGTTCCGCTGGCGTTTGTTCCTGGTGTCACCAACCTCAGGGATGCTCAGCCACTCTTCCTTTGTGACTTCTGCCAACTTCCTCTGAAAACATCCGGCCCCCAAAACATTAATTCTCTGGCAGATTTCACACTGCCCAAGGAAAACTATCCTCTGGTGGGCCCTGCCCTGCAGACCACCGTGCTTAGAAAGGACCGGATGCAGAAACGGTTGTCTGCTCGTCTAGAAAAGTCAATGTGCTGATCTGCTCCACTTCGCTCAACGCAAACTGTTCTATCAAAGCCCAGAGGACGCAGCTTAGAAATGGATAAACAGAGTTAACCTTACCAAGAAAATACCCACATCTGTCCCTCCTTCTTTGGCGGGGGGAAGAGAGACTTTTGGCACACAGACAGATAATTAAACAGACTAAAGCAGGGCCTTTTTCTACCCCGAGTGAAAGGACGAGCACAGTTAGGGACGTGTCAGCAGCTCCACCCCGGAGCAGGCTGGCTCTCTGCGGGCAGCTTGGGTGCCTTCCCTCTCTTACTTTGAGATCTGAGAACTGTTGTTGGATTTTGGGGCGTTCCATAGGTACTTTTCAATTTCTTCTTTCTCCCTTTGCTCCCTAGGAAGTAAAATGTATGCATGCATTAGAAATGCTGGGCATCTGAAACAAAGTCACTTTATTACACTTCTCAATTAGGCCACCAAATATAACTCAAGTATCTACCAAATGAAAACATGCAGAAATTCACCAAATAAAAACAAGCTGTCTTACTCTGACATAAATACTTGCATTTGAACATAAGCATGTTTGCTGCTTTAAAATTCTACAAAATAGCAAAGGCAGGGCCATCCTATGAATGCCAGCTGCCCCTCCACTTCTCCTTCTGAGGTAAACAAACAGTAAGCCCTTGCCAGGTTCCCCGCTCCAACCAGGTTTCAGGGAGGGAGAGTTCTCCTGCTGAGCTGAGACCTGGTCTAGACACTGGGAAGAAATCTGACCTTTTATTTGAACACAGAATAACAGGCACTGTAACAAAGTATCAACCAAGCTCAGCAAACAGGACTTGACCAGAACCAAGCAGCTAAAACTTTCTAACACTGCCCAGCTGGCGTGGCTCAGTGGTTGAACATCGATCTGTAAACCAGGTCACGGTTCGATTCCTGGTCAGAGCACATGCCCAAGTTGCAGACTTGATCCCCAGTAGAAGGCATGCAAGAAGCAGCTGATCAGTGATTCTCTCTCATCATTGATGTTTCTCTCTCTTTCTCCCTTTCCCTTCCTCTCTGAAATCAATAAAGATATATTTTAAAAAATAAAATAAAACTTCCTAACACTGAGATTCACACTTCCCTCTACAAGTAAGAGAAAGGTATCTGTAGGCAGGAATCTGAATGGACCATGACAGACGATGTGTTTGGAAAAGAGAACCCCTTCTCCAGGAGCTGAAAAGTCAGTCACCACAGCCCTGACACAAAGGTGCGCCTATCAGGTGTTCTGGCCAAAGATGCTGCACCTGTGTCAGTCAGGCCTCGGCTCCAGTGTCCGCTCCCCAGGAACAGAGAGCAGGACAAGTTAAAGGACAGGCGCTTCTACAAATGACTGATCTCTTCAGAAAGCCAATGTCACGAAAAGGTTCAAAGGCAAAAGCAGGGGAAAACGTAGGAGACAGGACACAGGAAGTGGTTGGTTTGGGAGAAAAGCAGCTCTGCCATGTCTTGGGGACAAGCAGGGAATACAGACATGGCCCAGATCAGGTAACAGAATCGGGTTCATGCTGCTGAGTGGGACAAAGGTGCTGGTCAGTGTGGGAGACAGACTGCTCAATGCTGAGGGTGAACCGACCCTGAGGGACCCAACAAAGACCACCTGCAGGTGTGGAGAAGCGAATGTGCAAATTGGGACCAGTGTTGGGACTCCACAGGGGCAGGCATGTTTGCCGCACTATTCTACTTGTTTGAAGTTTTCATAATGAAGTTCTGAAAAGCCAACCACTTAATACGATTTTCCACAGGTATCCATGACAGTTTTTTAATGAATGACTTCCAAAAAGTTGGAATCAAAGCTTCTTTAGTATGCAAATCATTGTGCACAAGCATAAAAACACTCCCGTCAAGTCCTGGCGGTTAGAGTGCCAGCCCTCAGACCAAAAGATCTGGGGTTCGATTCCCAGTCAAGGGCACTTACCTGGGTTGCAATTCCATCCCCAGCCTCCTCTGGGGAGGGCAACCACTCAATGTATCTTTCTCACAACAGTGTTTCTCTCCCCGCCCCCCGCCCCTCCCACCCCATTCCACTCTCTAAAAAAATCAATGGAAAAAATATCCTCGAGCAGATTAAAAATGGTGGCAGAGTAAGAGGATGCTGCACGGACACACTCCCAGGACCAAACTGGAATTGCAACTATTTAACAGAAAACTTCTTTTTTAAGATTTTTTTTTTTAAATATATTTTATTGATTTTTTACAGAGAGGAAGGGAGAGGGACAGAGAGTTAGAAACATCGATGAGAGAGAAACATCATTCAGCTGCCTCCTGCACATTCCCTACTGGGGATGTGCCCACAACCAAGGTACATGCCCTTGACCGGAATCGAACCTAGGACCCTTGAGTCCACAGGCTGATGCTCTATCCATTGAGCCAAACCGGTTAGGGCCAGAAAACTTCTTGAATAATCAACAGAAGACTTGCAGGAGAGAACCCTGATAAATGAAGACAGAAAAAGTGGAGACCGAATGGAAACTGGTAGGAGGGGCGGAGGTATGAAAGGGCTGGCCAGATGCCCACAGAGAGCAAGTTCAGAAGAGATATCTCAGCTGTGGGGGGTTTCCACTGAGAACTCTGGGGTCTAAATCCCAAGCTGGGCCCCCCAGCAGAGAGCACCAGAACTAAGAAGGGTACCCACATACCATCTGGCTGTGAAAAGCAGTGGGGGTGCCATCAGCCAGGAAGAGATGGCTGGAAATTCAGACCCCCTCTTAAAGGGCCAATATACAAAATTCCCTGTGCAGCCACTCACCTTGTGCTCTGGCAGAGAGAGGGCCGAGTGGGCTGCAGCTGTGCGAGCAGAAGTCAGGGTTGGGGGCTCTAGGGTTAGAGCTCAGAAGGCAGACACCCTGGTTTCCTGTGCTGAGTGCAGACGTCATCTTTCTCATGCAGACAATTACTATCTAGGCAGTTTTGCCTGGGGGAAGACAGCTGACCCACCCAATTGGGAAACCCCTTGCCCCATGGTGAGGAGTTGCTGAGGCCCATTAGGAGACTGAGAATAATTAGCCTCCTGGCAGAAGCAATCACTCCACCCTGCTGGGAAAAATTCTTGCCATACCTGTGGACGATTGCCTGAGGCTATTCAAGGCTAAATCCAATCAGTCTGCAAACAGAGGCAGTCTCTGGAGGCTTTGAGTCTTTGCCTGATCTAATTAGTCAGAGTGTTTGACATTGCCCTGCACTAGAGATCGAAAGGCCTAGCAGATCTACCTAATACGTAGTCACAAACCCAAAACAGGTACCCAAAATGAGGAGACAAAGAAACAACCCCTAAATGAAAGAACAAGAGAATTCTCCAGAAGAGATACATGAAACGGAGATAAGAAATTTATCTGAAACAAAGTTCAGAATAACGATGGTAAAGATGCTCAACAGCATGAGAAAAGATATAGTAACTATGAAAACAGAAATAAAGAATGACCCAGCACAGAAAAAGAACACATTGGAAGGAATATACAGCAAAGTAGGGGAAGCTGAGGATCGAATCAGTGAATTAGAAGACAAGGTTGGAGGAGAGACCAAGATGGCGGCATAGGTAAACACCGGAGACTGCTGCCGCAAACAACCACTTCAAAAATACAACTAAAAGACAGAACGGACATCACCCAGAACCACAGGAAGGCTGGCTGAGGAGAGACTCTTCAACTAGAAGGAAAAATAACAGCACACCGAGGCTCAGAGGAGGCGCAGTGTGGAAAAAACTCAGGTGCGGAGGTGCGCGCGCAAAGCGGGCTGGTGGCTGAGAGCGCGGTTGTCGTTTTCGGTCAGGGGGGAGTCTCAGACTCTGAGCTCCAGATACGGGCGAATCGCTGGGGACTCGGACCCAAACGGGAGAAGCGGGAGTGTCTGGCATCAGTTGGAAGGCAGCTTTCCCTCCGAGGTTTGCAGCGGTTCCGGGGGTTCTGAGAAGCAGAGCCTCTGGGAACAGGACTGAGGGCACCATAACGGCTCCCTCCGCCCGCCCTGTTGAGCCCGCCCCGCCCAAGCCCTGCGCAGAGCCATTTGCCGGATAGCCTCAGGCAAAGGCTAGATTAGCACCTCCCCAGAGGACAGAAGTTTTCCGCGGCAGACACAGCTGATTCACACAGCCAGTCGGCCTGGTGGTCAAATCCCTCTAGTATTAACTACAACAATCAAGGCTCAACTAGAACAAGACTGCGCACAAAGACCACTAGGGGGTGCACCAAGAAAGCATAAAAAATGCGGAGACAAAAAAACATGACAGAAATGGAGGATATAGAGCTAAAAATCGCAATTTTGAGGGCTTGCAAAAATGTGCTAGAAGCTGTCAATAAACTTGAGGAGAGAGTCACGAAAACTAATGAGACCCTCGATGCTATGATAAAGAACCAACTAGAAATTAAGCATACACGGACTGAAATAAAGAATATTATACAGACACCCAATAGCAGACCAGAGGAGCGCAAGAATCAAGTCAAAGATTTGAAATGCGAAGAAGCAAAAAACACCCAACCGGAAAAGCAAAATGAAAAAAGAATCCGAAAATACGAAGATAGTGTAAGGAGCCTCTGGGACAGCTTCAAGCGTACCAACATCAGAATAATAGGGGTGCCAGAAGATGAGAGACAGCAAGATATTGAAAACCTATTTGAAGAAATAATGGCAGAAAACTTCCCCCACCTGGTGAAAGAAATGGACTTACAGGTCCAAGAAGCGCAGAGAACCCCAAACAAAAGGAATCCAAAGAGGACCACACCAAGACACATCATAATTAAAATGCCAAGAGCAAAAGACAAAGAGAGAATCTTAAAAGCAGCAAGAGAAAGAGACTCAATTACCTACAAGGGAATACCCATACGACTGTCAGCTGATTTCTCAACAGAAACTTTGCAGGCCAGAAGGGAATGGCAAGAAATATTCAAAGTGCTGAATACCAAGAACCTACAACCAAGAATACTTTATCCAGCAAAGCTATCATTCAGAATTGAAGGTCAGATAAAGAGCTTCACAGATAAGGAAAAGCTAAAGGAGTTCATCACCACTAAACCAGTATTATACGAAATGCTGAAAGGTATCCTTTAAGAAGAGGAAGAAGAAAAAGGTAAAGATACAAATTGTGAACAACAAACATGCATCTATCAACAAGTGAATCTAAGAACCAAGTGAATAAATAATCTGATGTACAGAATGAACTGGTGATTATAATGAATCAGGGACATAGAAAGGGAATGGACTGACTATTCTTGGGGGGGAAAGGGGAATGGGAGATGCGGACTCAATCAGATAACCAAAAAGAAAAAAACAATTAAAAAACAAGAGGACAGCTTAAGGGAGCTGTGGGGCAATATGAAACATAAACAATATTCACATAGCAGGTGTGCCAGAAGGGCA